ACTCTGGACCAACTCTCCCAAACCAAGCCTGACTATATCTCTCCTCTCAGGGTACCAAGGGGCTGGCTTTCTGTAATGCTATTAGCTTGAGCCTCTAAACTGTTATTGTTCCCCCCAATACTGTTAACTTCCAGTGGTTAACTACCCAGTTCCATTTAAGCAGTTAATATCAATTAGGTTTTACAAAGGAGTATTTATAGATATAGCAAGAACATAAACACAAATATTCCCTCCCCCATACACCTGGGAACACATTCTCCCCTATACCATCTCAGTTCCCAAAAGGAGTGGGCTCAGCCTGAACATAGTTCTACATAGCAATGGTATCACCAAGTTCAGGTCCAAATACAGCATAGCTGCTGGTCAAATCCCAAAGGTCATTCCTCAGGGAATTGATGCTGGATTGGCTGGCTCAAAACCCAACATGGACTCCACTCTCAGACCTGATGGCTTGCGCTTGTCATGCTTCAAAGCTCACAAAGTCATAGCTATCTCCAATCTCCATCACTTAACATGAATAGACACAATAGTAACAGAAGCACCAGCAAGGTCATTTAGTCATGGGCCACATCAACACACCTTGGTGGGAAGATAAAGGCTTGAAGTCTCTCGTTTCACAGAAGGTTTAGTCCTTGATTAAACACAGCAGGACAAAGCCAGACCAAGGTAAACACCCTGGCTGATGAGTGTCTTTTGCATGCGCCCCAGTTGTGACTCCAGAGACAATCAAAAAGCTTCCTCTTCACCATGCGATTAGCAAACTGTCAAAAATATCTATCAAGTCCACATGGGGATTAGATTGGCAAAGAGCATTTTTTAATTTCATTTTTAATTTATGGAATAAAACAAGCATTTCTATAACATAGTATAATTTTTAAAAAAACTGATTGTACAAGAAAGTGCAAATGTACCATGCACAATTTGCTATTCCTTTCAAATATACAACAAAATTATCACGTAAAGTTTTTCTTTTTCTTTTTTCTTTCCCTGGTACACTAAAGATGGCTACTATTAGACACAAATAGATGTGTGTGTATGTGTCTGTGTGTGTGTGTGTGTGTGTGTGTGTAAAATTATTTTATTCATCCTTCTATTTATCAGTTCTTTCCCTGCATGCAATAGCATCTTTCTTCATGTGTCCTTTATAGTTAATTTTGGCATTTATAATAGACAAAATAATTTATTCACTCAAAGTCATCCTTAAGTACGCTCATGAGGACTGGGTTCACTGGAAAACCTACCATTACATCTGCTTTCCTTAACAGAAATATTTTTTTCATCAGTCAAGACTTGGTTCAGAAAATGAATTATTCATTTCAGAGCACTAAGATATATAAAGTGAATATAGCAGATATTAAAGAGCTGAAATGAACTTTGGAAACCTTCTAACCCAACCCTCTCATTTTACAGATGGGAAAATTCAGGTTCAAAGAGGTAAAGTGATGGATATAAGTTCACATAGGTCCTCACTGGCAGAATCTGGATGTTAGGCCAGGTTTCCTCATCCCTGGGGTAGTACTCTATGTTCTGCCATACTGAAGTCCATCAATGTTTGTTCTTAAAAAGTGATGGCATTTAGAAATGGCAAGCCAAATCAGCAAAACAATCTGTCTTAATCAAAGAAATATTTATTGAGGGTTCATTATGGATGAGGCATTGTGTTGAGTGCTGGGCATACCAAGTTAAAAAAAAAATCTTCTGGCCTCAAAAAACTTCTGTTGTAATCATAGTATATAAATAATCATATCTTTGAAAATAAAAAAAAAGAAAAGCCATTCTCACATGTTATAAATTTATCTACTTAATAAAGCTTCAAATTAATAAGCTTAATAATTAAAAAAAAACCTTTCCATATTGGTTATCTTTTATCACACTACAGTGACAATAGCTTTAAAACTGAAGGAAGATGGAATAAGCATTTATATAGTACCTACTACGCAGCAGACACTATGTATGCTAAGCACTTTAAAAATATTATCTCATTTGATCCTTACAACGCCCTGTAAGGTAGGTATTCTTATTGTCCTCATTTTTTACTTGAGGAGACTGAGGCAAACAGCCATTAAATGACTTGCACAGCTTGTAAGTGTTTGAGATGAGATACAAACTCAGGTCTTCCTAAATCCAGGCCCATTACCACACTATTGTTCTTCTCTACCAATTTCCATTTCTCTATGAAGGTCTTATGTTTGATTGTAATTATTTATGTTTTAGGCCAATTAAAGTATAAATACAGTTTGCTGAAATACAAAGAAATAAGTGTGTAGTTTTTTACCATAGGATACTTCTTTCGTATATTCCTTTTGGAAGTAAAGAAATTTGTCACAGAGGCTATCATTTAGTTACACTGAGAAGCAAATATTTCCTTAAGGCTCCATGTATTAACACATTTCTAATTAGTCCTATTTTTAAAAAAAAACTTTGTAGGAGAACCAGATTCTGGCTCCCTTAAATCTCCAATGCAGATTTCCCTTGTCTCACACTTGTGTAGAGCTCCTGTAAAGTTTGTTGGTAGCTCCAGAGACAGAATGGGGCAGCTAGGTGCCCGAGTGGATAAAGCTGGGTGGTACAGTGAATAGAGCACCTGGCCTAAAGTCAGGAAGACTCAACTTCTTGAATTCAAATCTGGCCTCAGACACTTGTTAGCTATGTGGTCCTAGGCAAGTCACTTAACGCTATTTGCCTCAGTTTCCTCATCTGTGAAATGAGCTGAAGAAGAAAATAGCAAACCCTTCCAGTATCTGTGCTAAGAAAACCCCAAATGGGGTCACAAAGAGTCAAAACATGACTGAAAAAAGAATCAACAACAGTCATAGAGAGAATACCCTCAGGACTTCACTAGAATGCATGCTTAATGCCAAGCACTGTGCTCAATGCAGAGATTTTCTATAGAAATAAAAATGGAGTCCTTGGTCTCAAAGAATTCCCATCAAACTCCCTTATTTTACCAGAAAGAAATAGAACAAGACAGGTTTATCAACTTTGCCAAGGCCACACAGGTATTGTAGTGGCTAAGCAGTACTTGAAGTCAAAACTCTGATTCTAAGTTGAATATGCTTACTGTAACATACTAACTCCATTTGTTGGAACTAGGGATACATATAAGTACCTACTTCAAAATTTAAGCACTTAATGGGACAAAGTTTTGCTGTCATGTAGCTTCTAATGTTGGCCATTATTTAAAGAGATCTGACTTCAATATCAATAAGTTCCCATTTGCATTAAGTTAGTCTGCAAATATATGAAGCAACATTGAGAATCTGCAGAAAGAAGATGAGGCTATAGATGGCCAATGCTAAGAAAATTCCCAAATTCTTAGTTCTGAGACCCCTAATATTTGACTAGAGAATAACTGAATAAAAGTAGGAATAATGTAAGTTGCCATGTACTGGTCGCATTTAAATCTCATTTTATATTCTAATAAGAATATTTATGTAATTTTAATTATATATATCATATAGCTATATTAGCAATATTTATATATCTTTAAGAGAGGGGATTCCCCTATCTGGTGATTCCATGTCAGTCACCTGCATCAAGATACAGTTGTCCATCTGTCCTACCAAATAATTAACATCACCATCTTGTGGTGATGCCCTCAAACTGCAAGCATATGTTTCCTAGAGCTTGGAGTTAATTAGACCAGAGTTTAAATCCAACTTAAGACACTGAACAGTACTGAACCAAAACAATAAAGTAATCAATCCCAAGAGAGGGGTCCCAGAGCAAAAATTTCTCCAAGCCATGGTCTTCTGTTATAGACAGCTTTGTCAAGAGACGGTGGCTTGTGGAGAAAATGGTCAGAGAGAAGAAAGTGAAGACTAGATGACCATACTAGAGGGATTAGACCAGATTATAACTTTGAGAACCCTTCCAAATCTAGTTTAAGGATTGTATGACCCTTAGCAATGGAATTTTATAAGAAATATTCTATATCCTCTGAAATGCCTAGTATAGAACTGAGCATATAGTAGGCACTCAGTAAATATATGCTAATTGTTTTATTGGTTCTTTAAGTCTTCTGGTTCATTCCCCCTGTCTTGGGAACATCCTATTTTGCATGGCAACATTAATAAATGCTTTGCACATCCCTGTAAACAATGGTTTATCTTTATCCTAACTTGTGTTTTATAAGTTACTATAGCTGAAAAAAAATTTTTGATCTAGTGGACAACATTCAAATGGTTAAAACATATGTATATATGTATGTATGTATGTATGGTTAAATAGAAAGTGATATTTGTATCATTCCTATATAGGATTTCATGATGCCTTGAGCACATTAAGTACTTAATCAGTGTTCATGTGGAATGAATCTAATTCAGCAAAAGTAAAAGTTTTCTGATTCACTCCACATGCCCAGAGTCAGTGAGCTATTATTATACCAGGTAGAAGAATGTCACTTAGGATATACTTAACAATGACTTTCATGAGTGCCATAGATTAGAACCTGTTCCTGAGAGAAGCTGGGCTGGCTTGGACTTCCGCTCCTTCAGAAGGAATTAAGGATGCAATCTTTAAGGTCTGCTAAGTTGGCCACAAGGGACTATGTTTCAACGTATCATCCAAAAGCCATTCTTAGAGTGAGGCTGACTTCGCTTCCCACCCCATCGTTCTTATCCAGAGACCTGCACAATTCAGGTCCTCATTTAGGGATCTGGGCACGCAGCTTTCCAGTCTAGAGCTGCAAAGTAGCGGAATGAGCTCACCTGACACCATGGAGGCTGATGAACAGCTTGGAGTTTCAAGGCAGCCCTTGGTGTAATTTGAAGTCCACTTGAAATTACCTCTGACTGGAGAATTTTCATCTACTGAAGAGTAGCTTAATTAGTTAGCCTCCCTTTCAGAAGACATTTTTTTTAAAGACTCTGAATCTCTCCTTACAGAATGACCAACAAGGTAAAACTAGCCCCATCTAGTAGGATTTGACTTGTACACTTAAGATTGTTCTCCAATAGGTGATGTGCATAGATTGTACCTCTGTGTGTTTTCTCTCCTAGGTCCTACCCTGACCAAGACTCATGTGAAAACAGCTTCCCTCGGATTAGCAGGAAAGGCCAGGTCTCCTTTGCTTCCCGTGTCAGTACCCACAGCCCCTGAAGTGTCTGAAGAAGGCCACAAGCAGCTGGAGGATCCAGCCAGCGTAAGCACACTTGTCAACTTCAACCTAACAGTGCCACATACTGCCTCGTAGTATATTCAGGAGGAGAAAGAACCTTCACAGTTACTTTGTTTTTTCTCCACTGTACTTGATGATTAGAAGTCAAATAACTAGAATATAAACTCCTTTCAGGAATTTATTTTTTAAGTCAGGGAATTAAATTAGGTTTCACAACCTAATTTTCTTTACCTTCCACATCTGTATCTATAGGACCATTGCCAATGATGTTTTAAGATTGATTGATTCTAAGCCCCTGCAAGACCGTAACTATAAAAAAAAAAGAGAGAGATGGAATTTTCAACTTTATTTCCTATTTATTAAGGCAGAGGAATATACTAATTAAGGTCTTTGGCAATGATTTTCAACCGGAAAAAAAAAGGTTGCAACAGGAAGGATTCCTACTTAACAGCACTAATAGCTGGCATTTATATAGCACTTTAAGGTCTGTGAAGTGCTCTATAAATAACATTATTTTACTGTCAGAACAACCTTGGGAGGTAGGTGCTATTAATTATTCTCATTTTACAGATGAGGAAATTGAGACAGATAGGTTAACTTGCTCACAGTCACACAGGTATTGTCTGAGGCTCCATTTGAACTCAAGATCTTCCTAAATCCACATTTAACTTTTTTTACTTTAATTTACTTTTTTTAATTTACTTTTCAGTCATATCTTTTTGTGACCCCATTTGATAGAAATACGGGAATAGTTTGCCATTTCCTTCTCCAGCTCATTTACAGATGAGAAAACTGAGGAAAACAGGGTGAAGTGATTTGCCCAGGGTCACACAGCTAAGAGTCTGAGGCCTGATTTGAACACACAAAGATGAGTCTTTCTGACTTCAAGCCGAGCACTCTATCCACTGCACTACCCAGCCACCCAAATATACTTCTACTACTCCCTAAAAAAAAATTTAATTTAAACAACTGGTTTTTATTAGTTGTTTTTTAAAGCAGGTTAGACATTATTTCTCTGTATTTTTTAAAAAAATATTCAGCTGAATATCTGGATTCAGCCATATGTTTTGCTTTTTAATGGCTTGTGTGTGCGTGTGTGTGTGTGTGTGTGTGTGTGTGTGTGTGTGTATGTGTAAATGCTTCCTGAATCATCAGAAATTTTTGGAACTAAGTGACTGAGAATAAGAAAAGATGCAAGACAAAAAGGAAAGATAAAGACTGAAGGGGCACATTGGAGACACAATAGAGATATCAAGAAAATAGAAGAAAGGGAAATGGAAGTCACTAATAGAAGAGGGAGGGGGAGTGTTATTTCCCCAGGAAAGAAACAAACAAATGAAAAGCAATTCTTAGAAAATAAGAGAAAATAAGGAAGGGAAAACAGATGAAGGGATTGGATAAAAATAAAAAACTAGAGAAACAAAATGTTTTTGAGAAAGATGAAAGAAGGTTTTGTTTACAGAAACACAGGATAGGTATTTAGAAAAGCATAAAGTATCTTAGAATAGATTTCAGAGGGAAAAAGATAATTTTAAAGGGCTAAGGAAGTAGAACGGCAAATCTGCTAAGGAAGAAAAAGAGAATTAGAGGGGAAGAAAGGAGACAAGAAAAACTAATTTGAATTATGTTCTGCTGTTTCATTTGGATCTTATTCCAACATGTGTCATAGAATGAAAACAAACAACCAAACTTCTGTTTTCTGTATGCACAGATGCTGATTTTGCATAGCATGCAAATAATATCAACATAGCACGACACTATCAAAGAGTAATTCATTTCAGACACATCACAAGTTGTGGGCACTAGAGCCAACTTTCATTTTTCTTTTTTACAAAGTAGTTAATTGAAGCAGAACATGATGACACATTGTATCCCCAGGACTTTTACTTGGCCATGATGTAGTATATAGAATGTTAGAAACAGCAAGACCTGAGCTGCTAATCAACATCTGATCTTTCTAAGCTGTGTAATCATGGGCAGATCTTTTAGCCATCATGATCCTCAGTCTCCTCATCTGTAAAATGGTGATAATGATACTCCCATCCCAGGATTATTATAAATCTCAAGTCAGAAAATGTATCCAAAGCATTTAGCTAATGTAAAGGACTATATAAATGCTAGCTAATAATAAGGCATACGAACTTTGGGAGGAACTGTGATTTTGTCAGTCAGTGTAGGGCACCTTGGGTGAGAGATCTGCCTTCACTGATATGGATATAACCCATTTTTTACCAATGACATAAGTTCTAGAGAATTCTAGAGGCAGTAAGAGGTCAAGTGAGTTGTGCAACGTCGTACAACTAATAAGAGTTTTAGGTAAGATGAGGGATGTGGGATATGAATTTTGGTCTTCAATTTCAGGTCCAGCACTCTATACAACTATTTCACACCAACTAATAGCAGCAACAACACATATTAGATTGTTGATTCTCTCTCCTAAATAGATTATGATGTTTATCTCATGCCCATTTAAATTGAAGAACATGGTATCAGAAGTATCACAAGCAACAAAACACATCCTCGATAGACCAGGAAAGAATTTCGGGTGTTACTAAGAAAGTCTTACCGCTAGTGTTGCTTATGGGTTCTGTGTGTCCACATGAATCAGATAAGGCAAGGTTTGGATTTAAAAGTAGCTGTTATGCTTATGCTACACAATTTAGCTTTATGTTTGTTTTGCCCGAGGGGTTTGAGCCAAATTCTAATGATTTTTTTTTGTGATGCAGAGAATAGATCTGTTTATGAAGTATCTCATTACATAACATATTAAGTAGTGCCATCTTGCTTTAAGTTGACCCTAATAAGAATAATAACTAGCATTTAAATGTTCTTTTATGTCTGCAAAGCCCTTTAGATGTTATTTTATTTTATCTTCACAACAACTCCATGAATATGTGCTATTATTCTTCCCATTGTGAAGAAACAAGCAGACAGAAGTTAAGTGACTTGTCCAGGGTCACATAGCTAAGTGTTTGAGGTAGGATTCAAACTTAGGTCTTTCAATTCTGGGTCCAATACTCTTTTGTGCCATCTACTTTCTTGTTGCTTTCATTGTTTAATCATTTCAATAATATCCAGCTCTTCTGGACCCCATTTTAGTTTTCTTAACAAAAATGATGGAAACGTTTGCCATTTACTTCTTCAGCTTATTTTATAGATGAGGAAACTGACCTGAACTGCGTAGGTGGAACAGTGGTTAAAGTACTGGGCCTGAAGTCAGGAATTCTTATCTTCCCGAGTTCAAATCTGGCCTCAGACACTTAATACCTACATGATCCCGGGCAAGCCACTTAACCTTGCTTGCGTTAGTTTCCTCATCTGTAAAATGAGCTGGAGAAGGAAATGGTAAACCACACCAGTATTTTTGCCAAGAAAACCCCAAATAAGGTCACAGAGTTGGACACAACTGAAAAGACTGAACAACAACAAGAAATAAAGATAATCCAAGATTTTAAAAAATCTAGATATTATTAAGATATGACTTTAGGCAAATCATTTTGTTTCTCTGGATCTCAGGTTCTTATCAGTAAGATGAGGAGACTTGAATAGATAGATATCTCTAAATTATATAATTCTGACAATACTTTTGTATAATTTATCCAGATAATTACCTAAATTTATTCCTTTTTTGTCATAGATAGAGTTTATGGTTAATGCTTGTGTGGCCAAACTTACAGGGTACCAATTCCCACAAGGACTTTGGACTCAAAGATTAAGTTCAGAGGTGGGGGGTGGGGGAAGGGAAGACATGGGAAGACATTATATATATGTATGTATACATATATATGTGTGTGTGTATGTATATATATATATATGTATATATATATATATATATATATAAAGATTAATAGGTTCCCTTCTAAAACACATTTTTGTTGTTTGGTTTTTCCTTACTCTTTGTGACCCCTCAAATGGTTTGCCATTTCCTTCTCTAGTTCATTTAACAGATGAGAAAACTGAGGTAAACAAGGTTAAATTATTTGCCCGGGGTCATACAGCTAGTGTCTGAGGCCAGATTTCAACTCAAGAAGATGAGTCTTCCTGACCTCAGGTCTGGCACTCTATCCACTGTGCCACCTAGCTGCCTAGAAAATGTACTCCATGTAAAATGTCAATATCAAGTATAAGTCTGGGGATTATTTTCTCCACCACAGCAAATCCTTAAGACAGAACAAAATGCAAAAGGCAACTGGGTATTAGAGTGAATAGAGCTCTGAGCTTAGAGTCAGGAAGACCTAAGGTCAAAAATCAGACATCAGACATTACTAATTGGGTGATCCTTAGCAAGTCATCTAATTTCAGCCTGGAAAAATTGGCATAACAACAGCACCTACCTCCGGGTGTTGTTGTGAGGATCAAATGGATAATGTTTGTAAAGTTCGTAGCACAGTGCCTTGAGTGTAGTAGGCACTTACTAAATGCTTGTTTCCTTCCTTCTTTCCAAAACACACACCTTAAGAAATTCTGAAACATAAACCATCTTAAACAGCTATTTATAGTCATTATAATTTCCTAGGGGGTGAGAAAACTTTGTGAGACTGCTGAACAGATATTTAGTAAATATTGCTCTTTCCCCTCATATCTGCACTTCCTGAACAACCCACAAGGTGCAGATATCCTGTCCAATGTGACTATGGCTTGGGCTTTATTTAGACCTTTCACTAAAGAATCCTTTTGGTGATGTCGATCTTCTCTGAAAATAGTACTATTTTGACAAATAAGTCCAAGTGGTCAGTTGACATCAAATCTGGTATTTCTGGATTCTCAAAATTCACAAAGTCTGCTACTGGAGCTAAAAACATCCATTCATTCCTTAGGATTGCTGGTCACTGTCTTGTTCTCAGAGAAGAAAACAGAAAACAGAAGACAGGGGCCAGGGACTCAGGTTCACTTAAACAAACACAGGTTCTCACTATCATATGTTTGTAGCCACCATTGCCACTTAGAAGGGGAGAAGATACCACTTCCTCTCTCTGGAAGTCCAAGAAAGAAAGTAGGAGATGGGTTCCAAGAAAGTCAAGACC